TTTCTTCTTCAGCATTCCTTGTTAGCCCAGTTCCAAACTCTTTTCTTCTTGGGATCCTGTAGGTGATGCCGCAATGAAGACAGAGCACCCTGAAGAAGTGGGACATGATGTTTTCTTTCAAGGTGACTTTAGCACTGAGCAGACTCTGTGGACTATGCCCATTTTGCCAGGCAACAGTTAAGTGCAGAGGGAATGGGAACAACAGAACAGACTGTTCATTTTGTGCAAAAACCACACAAAAATGAGTCCAAGACCTTCCCAGAACTACCTTGGAATTGACTAAGTCTGAATCTGGCTCTCACACAAGCCAAGCCATGTGAAATGTGCTAGATCCTGCTAGTGCTGCAAACAGCTCCTGAATTAAGGAGTTAAAGCCAGGATGGACAAGCATGAGGTCACTTGCCTGAGCTGCAAGTGAAGATGGCTATCTTGGCAGGGGCCAACCGAGAAAGGCAGAGCTCGGTATTTTTGAGGGTAACACCATTGCCAGTAGGTCACAAGTAATCTGGAAAGACTTCTGTTGAAAGCTGAAAACAGGACAGCATCCAGTCTGCCCAGACTTGACAGACTTCAGTCTGTCATGGAGTCCATGTGAGACTCCATCTCTCATGGAGACCTTGTGTCTGTGCTGAGGAAGGATGTGTGACTCCTCACAGATGTCCCATTTCAGTGTCTTCTGCAGTGGAGGAAGAAAGTTGTTCCACCCTGTCCTATGCCCTGGTGGCTTTTAGATGACCTTCTGAGATGACCATCTGATACCTTCTAACAATCTGGAATACTCTTTTCTTTTTGTTTACCAGTGATGGTCGGTCTATGCCTCTAGCCTGACTGCATGATGACATGAATCATTTGATTCAGACCATAATGCAACACCATCTCTCGCCAGGGATAAAATTTGATCATATCACATTTGATGACACATTATGTTGTTCTCATTCCCTGCCCTACAGATCTTAAAACCACCCTTCCCCAAAAGTAAGGAGGATGTAAGGACATGTCTCCTCACACTTCTTTGCTTTCAATATCCTGTCCTGCATCACACCGTGCTGATGACCTCTGGCTCTAGACCAGGTTTGCAGGCATTCCCCGTAAGAGAGGGTGTCAGTGTCTTAAGTCCCAAGCACAAAAATACAATGGAGAGATACCCTGGCTCCTGCCAGTGTACCCTAGGATCTCTGAAGGGAAAAGAAAAAATGCGTCCTGCTCTTCGAAGGCATTTGAGAAAGACAAATCATAGGAAGAAGTGCTGCACAGACATACTGTATAGACTGCCACATGCTGACTCCAAGGCATGGACTGGCCTGGAAACCATGGTGCAGAAAACTCATAGCCAGAAGCCAGCCCTTCACCCATATCCCACTTCCCTTACATGCTTTTAAGCCACGACGTTAACGGCCTGAGCAAGGCAGAGTTTGTTACACGGGCCCTTGCAGATCACAGCATGCATGCTACAGGCCAGACTGGGTCATAGCAAGAGGCAGAAGAGCCTGTGGGAGATGCCAGCCAAGGGTACAGTCTGTTCTGTTTCACAAGCTTTAAAATTTTGGGGTCACTATACACAATTATTGTATACATTCCATTGGCCTGCTCAGAAGTCTCGTGACAGCCGGTACGTACCCCCTGTCCTAAAGCACAGAACAGAAGCATTCAATTTAGTATGCTGCTCAGGTGACTGAAATACCAGCGTTTTACAAAATAGCTTATTCAGGAACAAATTATGTATGTGTCACTGCTCTCTGCAATAAATGTAGAAAGTTTTATAGTGCATTTAATAAAAAACTTGACTTTGGTTTTTTTATATTGTTTAACTAAAATTTTATGTTCGTGATTGCTTTCTACAATATACAATGCAAATGGCAAAGAAATATGGGGAAAATTACATTGCTAGCAGGAAAAAAATTAATAAATAAAATGTGCTGGAAGTAAAACAGATGGTTGGCACCTGGTGGTTCTGTATAGCCCTGGGTGACAGTTAAGCTTGGAAAAGGAAAAAAGGGAAGGGAAACATGTCTGTATCACTGTTGCACTTGTGCTATTTTAGGGCTCTTGATATTGTGGGGTCTGGGGTTACTAGCTGTGACTAAACTGAAGGTTAGTCCTAGTTCTTCAAATGTACACATCCCCCAACACTGCTCTCTTCCCATAGCCTGGAGGATGTTGTGCATGTAGGCCGAACTACCACCCTCACGCATGCCTAAGGATCAGGACCTCCCAGCACAGCACGGCACTTCCCACCTCCCAAGCAAAGCCAGAGCACGACAGCAGCCTCTGCTGCTGTGTCTTGCAGTCAGCTTCTCAGGAGTGCTGAGAAGCGGCAAGCAATCACACTGTGGTCATTCCACCTATCTCCATGGCCTCCCTGCTCCTGAAACACACCTAACGTGGATCCATGCGAGGCACGGCGTTACATATTGCTGTCTGAGCAAGGGGACGCTCCCTGCACACGGGCTCCTTTGCAGAGGAAGTTTGTGACCTCTCCAAACAACTTTGCTGCAATACTGTCTCCAGTGGTCTAGATCTCTGTAACACTGTATGGCCATATACAGTCTCAGAAATAAGATGTCAGAGCTGTCAGTCAGCTACAATTCATCTTTCCGACAAAGCTATTGAGTATGACAGTAAACACGCATCTTCAGCTAAGCCTGTTTTGAAAAATTACTTGAGGGCAAGTTGTTGAAAAACAGACAGGCTGTTTCAAATGGGAACAGTGAGGCCAGTGTCTGTGTTGATTTGCCTTATGTTCGGATACAAGGTCACATAGTAGGAGAAACGAGAAAAAAAAATCAGCGTATGCTGTATAATGGGATAATTTTAACAACAAAATTGCTCATTCTCACCTCTTATTCACAGAGATTCATTCAGCCAACCTGGAACCTAACCTCCTTCCTCCACAAGTTGTCTTAAGCTTGCATTGGTACTTGGTGATGTGTATACCACATGCAGGAAGCTAACTTCTTTGGTTGTCTCCCAAGGAAATACTACATTGAGCAAAGCAAGGGAAGGATAGGAGCCAGCACCGCTTTTCTCACCAGTGCTGTCTTGGAAAACTGGCTGGTTCCAATCAACCTGCAAAGAGGTTGCATCCACTCCCACAAACTTCCTGCAGGAAAGAAGCAAGAGAGGTCCAGATTAAGGAGTGATGCAGTAAGATCTGATATGGAGCTCCTATGCCAGAGGCATGACCTTGCATGCCATGATAGTAGGTTGGAAGGATGAGGCACTACCGTGTCAAAAAGCACAACTACAGGAAGGATATTGAGACCACTGGTACAGAAGTGGCTCTTCTCTTGTGTTGTATGCATAATGACTGCAATTCCAGTGCATTTTACAACGGCTCTACTACTTCCAAAGTCCATGAGCAGCAGCTGTGTTCAAAATTCATCACCTTAGCCATCTAATGCTGGTTTTTCAGCATACCAAATGTCACTAGATGGATTACATGTCAGATTTTGGAAGATTGTTTCCAACATCCCATTTCAGGAACATCCACTATTTACTTATTTACTGAGCACTCAGCTCACTCAGCACTCACTTAACACAGTCAAATTATTTTCATGTAACCATAGAAAAATTAGCCCCTCTGGCCAGACTTCTGCAGGTAATACTGCAAACATTTATGAACAAGTGCTATAACCTGACTATCATGGTTGTAGTAGCATTCCTGTAACACTCAAGAAAGATCTTATCAATCTGTGCAATATATGTTTTAAGCAGCTTATCAGAGCCACTAGCTTAAAAGCATCCTCAAACAGACATGACAAAAAATGTTGGTATTTTTACAGTTCATGTACATAAGAGCAAGAACCGCATAAACAACTTATAACCTTTTGAATAGTATAGCAATCAGTTGACTCAGCACATCTTTAGACCAGCATCCCAGAACTTCTCCCCCCTAGATCTGCAAGTGTCCTTGAAACACTTGGCCACTGAGCATCTATCTTGCATAAGTTTTAAGTCTATATTTCTTGACATGAAGTTTCCATACTTAATAGAATTTCCAAACTCACAGAAGAATTCCCATCAGAGTGCTTCTAAGTGAAGCACTCGGAAGCAGGTATCTGTAAGATGTTAGCAAAGCATTAAAATTTAAAAAGTGAATTGCTCCTTTAATCTATTTCAAAAGAACTAATCCTACTTCAGAAGCCAGCTATATTAGGCTGTATACTTGAAAATTCTGCAAGGTTCGGGAACGGAAAGCGTAGTCCAGAAGCACTGTGAAAATTACTTCATTTGTAACAAAAATGCTTAGGAAATCCACGAATTTTGGGGGTAATAATGTCAGAAAAGATGCACATGATCTCACCTCTGTATTTTATTCTCTGTTTAAGAGAAAAACATCTGCTGCAATTCCAGACTCTTTCCTCTCCCAACAGAGGAGGACAGAATTGTCTGGAATTTGTATTCATAGGAATCATTTATATTAGTGACTGGAAAAACTAGATAACTGCAGATACAGAACTTTGGAAATAATTTCTCACCAATCTGAGTATTTGAAAGTGTTTTGATTAACAGCATTTTGTTCAAATAGGATGCTTTTAATTATGGTTTTAATTGATTATCGATAATTAACTACAGGTGTTTGCAGGGAAAACATTCTGTTTGAATAATTATATAATACATTCAAAAAAACCAGTCATATCTGTTTCCACTGTGCAGTTTATTAAGTTTCAAATTAGAAAAAAATTTCTAAGTATTTGACAATTCACATGCATAAACTCAAACATTTCAGCCCAAAAAAGTATTGATTTCTTTCAGTCTTGTATTAAGGCGTCCAGGAATTTCACCTAAGCAGACAAACATCTGGATTTTTAAAAAAGGAACCAAAATAGAGACAAGCTATAACTCAGTTTTACTTCTGTTAACAAATACGACCAAAGTGAGTCCTGGTAGTACGCAGTTGCATTCTTTATCTTTTCAGTTGTGTATAGGTGATAGGAGTCAAACTGATTG